GATGAACATACAATTCTCGAAAAACTGAGATTTTGTAGTTTTATGGCAGTCTTCAAATATATTGTTCCCTGACTTCCAAGACGTTATGTGCTTGGACAACTAAAGAGGGTTAGTTTCTATGCTTCAAAGCCCGTGGCATTTACAGTGGTTGTGATTTCAAATTCTACTTTCAGCTAAACAATCTCAATATTCCGTTCAGTTTTCTGCTCTAAACGGTGTTGGATACAATTGTAATCCGTGAAGCTAAATAGTGGTTTTCATTTATAGCTACTGTTAGCTATTGTTTTCTTTACAAATCCTTCCAGATTCAAATACCGAAACACAAAAATTAAAGCTCAGAAGCACAAAGAAAAACGTTGGCACGGGCGAATGAAATTGAGGAAGAACCTAAAGCAATGCTGTATATAGGTTGGCAATTTGGCAACGGAGAAGTAATGAGCCAATATGAACGTTAAATCCGGTTAGAAGAAATGCATCGATAGAAAAACGATGGGCAGACAAAAGCAGATCATGTGAGCAAATAATCTGCTAAACGTCGATCAATCCAATTGCAACAAATGCGTTGTTCCATGCGACATCTTCCAATGAATCAAACAGAACTGCAGAGTCAAGCTCCATTCCAAAAAGATTATCAAGCCAAAGCAAACTCAAGATTTTAATGAAACGGAAGAGCATAGTCATGGTCAGTTGGAGCAAGTGTGCCAATCCATGGCACAACGTTGAATAAAATGAGCAAAAGAGCGGTATCAAGCCCAGTTGCAAGACATCGACAAACAATGACAAGTGGCACAAACAAGAAAAGACCCAGAGAGCTCAAGCTACTTTGAATGCTGCAAAAGCCAATGGTAACTATTGGATATAATTATCTTCGCCTTCAGAGGGTACAATCGAAGCCCGAAGGCCCCCACGCCCTCCACAGGATTTAGCACTTTCCCCTCACGTGCAGGATTATCTTCTATACACAGTACAGTCAAGCCTTGTCATTCACTAATTTGTTTGCGAAATTATATTCTTCGTTATTTTATACCGTAGCTGTATAGGATGCCAGTTTAACTTTCGCGCCTTTTCCCTTGGACTATTCGTGACCCCTCACCATTGGGGAGGGGTATTTTTTTATAGCAGTGGATTGTGGCCCGTGTGCCACCGTACACTATTTTACTTGTGCACACAAATACATTATTGGTGTTACAAGCGAACTGGAAAACGGCCTTGTAACTCTGTCGATAGCTGTTTCCTTGTCTCCTCCTTTCTGTACCCTTGTCTGTCCCTTTATACATCCCATTCTGTCGCTATCTATATATATAAAATCGTGCATGTCTGTCTGTCCGTCTGTGTGTGTGTGTGGATTTCGGACCATACGCACTTTCATTGGACGCTGGTTGCCCCTGGCAACGGCTAGCGACGCCTTCGCCGCTTTCATTGGACCTGGCAACGGCTAGCGACGCCTTCGCCAAGGGCTGCAGTTTCATTGGACGGCGGTTGCCCCTGCCAACGGCTAGCCACGCCTTCGCCACTTTCATAGGCTCCGTAAATAGTTAAATAATAGCCATTACACAGTATTGTTGGAGCGCTGAAGGGGGGGGGAAGGCACGCCACCCGTACCCTGCCTCTGCCGGGTGGACAATTTTGGCGAGGCCGCAGGCTCTGCACGCTACTAGGCCTCGACACCCACCACGCCACTCTGAGGTAAATTCATCAAAGTTTTTCCTACTCTTCACTCCACCCCCACCACAATGTGTGCAATTTATATTACTTTTAAACCCAACGCGCCAACAATCGATTACTTAAATGTTCACTGTACAAATAGTCATTAAGCTGGGTCAGTGTACTGCCAGTCTATTATGTAGACTGTAGCCTCCTTATTAAGCTTGGTGAGCGTACTGCCACTCTATCATGTACACTCTAACCTGCTTATGAAGCTGACTGCGTGTACTGGCAGTCTATAATGTGGACTGTAGCCTGGTTATTATAATCGATTCTTTATATGTTCTTTATACAAATACTCATTAAGGTGGTTGAGCGACCCCAGTTCGATTCCAACTCACGCCCACCACCGCTCACGATTATTTCAAACGGACCTGGGCCTCCCCTAGGTCGACTCAGCCTCAAACGCGTAACTGCTGTCGTGTGTGAACATCGTCACTGGGGAGACAAAGGCGACCGGGCATCGTGGATCCGTGTCCCGCGCGAAGGCGGGTCATGTGTATGTGTGTATGTGTTTATGTGTATGTCTGTGTGTCTCTATGTATGTGTGTGTATGTGTTTGTGTGTATGTGTGTGTGTATGTATGTGGGTTTTTTTGTATGTCTTTATGTGTATGTCTGCGTGTCTGTATGTATGTGTGTATGTACGTGTGTGCATGTGCTTGTATGTATGTGTGTGTCTATGTATGTGTGTGTATGTGTTTCTGTGTATGTATGTGTGTGTATGTATGTGTGTTATGTGTCTGTCTGTGTGTCTGCATGTATGTGTGTGTGTATTGTGTATGTGTTTGTATGTGTTTGTGTGTTTACGCTCGCATTACACAAATGTGTTGCAGGTCTAAGGCGTTCCTTGCGCAGCATTGCCGCTTTATTATTTCAGTCGTTTACTGCCGTACGCACCCTGAAAGTCGCGTGTGTCTGCAGCAAGCGCCTGTATGTGTACCTATTGACGCGCGCGCGTGTGTTGTGTAGGGGGAACGGTAGTGTAGTGCTTAGCGTGCTGCCTGTGTCTGTGTGTGTGTGTCTGTGTGTGTGTGTCTGTGTGTGTGCGTGTGTGGTGTGTGGGGAGCGGTAGTGTAGTGGTTAGCGTGCTGTCTGTGTGTGTGTCTGTCTGCGTGTGTCTGTGTGTGTCTGCGTGTGTCTGTGTGTGTGTCTGTGCGTGTGTGGTGTGTGAGGAGCGGTGGGTGTAGTGCTTAACGCTACGCTGCGCTACCAACCCGGCGAACCCAGTTCCATTCCCGCTCACGGCCACCACCGGTGACGATTATTTGAACCTCCCCTAGGTCGACTCTGCCTCAAACGAGTAACTGCTGTAGCGTATTAACATCGCCACTGGGGAGACAAAGGCGGCCGGCCGTGGTGGATACAAGTCCCGGGCGAAGCTGGGTAGTACAGCCAGTATGTGTATATATGTGTCTATCTCCCTCTCTATCTGCTTCTCGTCTCCGTTTCTCTGTATCTCTACCTGGGCCCTTGTTTTCTTGTCTCTACCGCATGCTATTTTCTCTCTCCCCCGGTCATATGCCCCATATCTCTTTGATCCCGCCGAGCACTGCCATTCTCTCGTCCTTTCGCTCTCTCTTGCTGTACTTCGTACCCCCAAAACTGCATCTCCCATTGGTCACAATCACGCGTAAATCCTGACATTCGCAGCGCTTCCGTGGTTTGCTAAACCCCCATAAATCGCCTTTAATCCGCAAATGTGCACTACGGGGGCGAGATGTTAAATACCTCACATGGTTTTTCGCAGGTCGTGGGTTTGATCCCGACCCTGACGCCTGTATATTTAGAGTTTGCATGTTCTCTCCTTGGTCACGTGGATTTTTCTCCAGTTCCTACGATTTTTTCCTCCACATTTAGAAACATGTGTTTAGAGTATTTCGCTCCTGCTATAAATTTCCACGTGATAAGCCACTTAATTTAGCTATCGTTTGTGATGGCCAGGTCGCTTCTGAAAAAGAGCTATATAGCTCAGTGGGCCTCACCTGGTAAAACATAAAAAAAAATATTTACAGAGTGCTCCCAGAAGCGTTGAATAATGCCTAAAATCCATGACAAAAGACCCTTTAATATCGTGGTTTGACCTATCATGGGCAACCTCTTTGAAAACCAATTTAACTATCGCAGGATTAGTTTTTGCCTTTCGTGGGTACAATAAGTACCGTATCATTGGCCCGGCTGCCTTTATCTCCATAGTGGTGACATTTACACATCGCACCAGTTATTATTTTAAGGCTGAGTCGACCTAGGGGAAGACTATGACCGGTTCAGATAATCGTCATTGGTGTTGGCCGTGAGCAGGAGTCGAACTCAGGCCGCTAAGTTCATAGCGCGGTGCGCTAACCACTATACCACCATTCCCTTCAAGCATCAGACAAAGACCTCCCGTATAGCCTTAACATACTTTTTGGGGCAAGTACTAAGAGGGGGTGGGTCGGCAGCACCACATCTGGCCGCCTTTGTCTCCCCAGTGGCGGTGCTTAAACATCGCACCAGCATTTGAAGCTGAGTCGATCTAGGGGAGGCCCAGGACAGATTCAGAAAATTGTCACTGGTGTTGGGCATGAGCGGGAATCGAATTCGGGTGGCCGGATTCGCAGCGTCCTTACCGTAGCGGTACCGCTCCCCGCTCGTGGACAAACACACACCCGCTTTGAATTATCATCATCGGTAACTACTTATATTACTCTTCATTGTCGAGGAATGTTTTTTGTATAGAGTTGTTACATGTTTATTTTAATTACTTTGTTTTTGGATTATTTGGGATACAGCGCATATCTTATTTAAATTATTTTTGGTTGCTGTGTACCTAACCCAGGGGTCGGCAACCAAAATAACAAGAAGAGCCATTTCTTTCCAATTCGGTACAAAATTCAGTATTTCAAGAGCCGCAATGCATCTGAGTACATACTGTACATACGTACATATCGTCAAGAAGCAGCCCGTAAAGAGCCGCATGCGGCTCCGGAGCCGTAGGTTGCCGACCCCTGACCTAACCCGATTATTTAGGTAAGCATTAAGTATTGAATATCGCGGTTTTGGTTTTCGTGGCACTTTCCAAGAACATAACCCACGAGATATTCAATCGTCTCCTGTAATTGGATATGAATTGTCACTTAACGCGTTATATTTCCACACACAGCGTTAATCTCTTTAAGATTTGTTTCAAAACCACTATAAATGTCAGTACTGTCACGTACTTATTAACGTTAAAATCATCCTCACAATGCCCTGGCAGGGTTCTCAAGGGCAGGAGGCGTTGCACTGACAGGGTTTGTTTGCTCATTGGATGAGTCAATATTGGAGCAGCACAACCAGTCCAGCATTGCTTCACAAACACCATGGGAGAACGCAGGGCCGCACTCAAACATGTTTTTTGTACAAATGTCATTCTTCTGTTGAATCTGCATCTTGGTGTCGCTGGTAAGCAATGCGTTTTAAAATTCATAATCAATGTTATCATGTCAGCGATTACTGTATTCCTGCACAGTGTGTCATTGGTATATATATATATTTTATGTAATAGTCATTGGTATGCGCTGTGTCTTAAAGCGATGTGACCGTCGCGATTCACCGCGATGAATGTAACAAAATATATATTTAAACACGAAATTAGACAGTACCTGGTGTTTTTAAATTGGCGTAAATGCATGACGAAAAATGTGAGCAGTTGTCAATTTCAATTACCACAGACATACTATTGGTAGATTATATCGGGAGTGTTGAATGTATGTATGTTGAAGGACAACAAACTAAACATAATAACATGCACAGCAACTTCTTTCACATTTAGTGGCAAATGTATCTTAAACTCAAAGCATGCAGGCATATAGGGTCACGACCATAACTGTACCACAACCATGTTTTAGAAACATTGGAATCTTTTATTTTAGTTATCTTTGTCGACTTACACCTATTTTTGAAGATTGAGAATCAAATTCTGTCTACATTAATAGACTCCGATCTCGATTATCTTGGCGATATTCAAATAAAAGGAGAAATGTATACATAGTGGACACACTGCAGAAAATGTATCCTCAATCTTCAAGTTTCACAAACTAAATATTCAGACAATGTGCCTCCCTCTTTTCCTTATCTGTCCCTCCGCGTAAAACCTACGTTTTTACATATCCCTTTAATCACACGGTCTTCTGGGAGTAAATTTTCAGCAACAATATTTTAATCCAAGCAAAGTCTGGACCAGTTCAACATTCAGTGTTTTATCAGCCAAGTGCTGATGGAATGTGTTTAAATATTTGATTTATTTTATGTGGTGAGACATATGGGAAGGAGACAAATGGACCGCTTATTTTGTTACATTCGTTATAACCATGCCAATTATGCTTTTCTGTTCAGTATTTACACAAACAAGGTTGGCTGATTTCAATTATACAACTATCACAACTTTTATCAGAGCCTGCCAATCATAACGTGAACATGTCAAGATTCGTCCATGAAGCCATCCAGATATATAAACACAGACACAATTTCAACCGAGAAAATGGGTACAAACTGAGCAATCATTGGAAGGACGTTATTAACCAGTTTAGGTCATAACTGGCTGTGTTGTTCCCTTCCTACCTACCTATGTTAGCAGTTATTTTCGACTCTGAGTTACATTCACTAACACAGTCACCGTTAGCTGTGTTAGTAAATGGCGGCTTGCCATCCATTTCCACCTCCATGTGGCAATGTTCCTTTCCGAGCTCTCTCTAGCTTACATTTACAAGCAAATTTCTTACATTGACATGCTAATCTCTCACAATACAATGGCCACCCCCACAACTTCGTTGATCAAGATGTATCCTGTCTTACATTTACATGCAAATTTAATCTCTAGCCCCGCCCACTGACCCTTGGGCTACACCCATCTCAAACCTTTATAACTCCCTGCCTTAGCAGCGCTTCCGCCATATATTTTTTCCTGCTTCAGCAGCTCGCACCTGATGACGATTGCTTGTGTTGCGATCGAAACGTCGTGATATTGCGATTATATTTATTATTTTTCTATCTATGTGGCTTTACCGAAAGACCCAAAGCATAGGTTATAGTCATGTTATGGCAAATGCCTTAATTATCTTGATATTTTACATGCTTACCTCACTTATGTCCCCATTTATTGTAACTGGTGCTTACCCAGTAAACATGCCAATGTTTGAACGAACGTTTGGTTGTAGTTTGATCCTTTGGACTGACGTTGGCCCAGTGTTCCAATATACATGTTTAGTGAGTACTTGTGCATTGAAGTCTCCTATAAGTGGAACATCGTGCTTGGCTAATGTATTTGAGACACGCTGCTTTCTCTCATAAATTGTCTCTTTAACATCATCTTATTCAACATTACTGCTATGTTTTGAGATACAGTGTGTAGCCTCTGTTGTTTTATTGATCAAAAGGCACAATCTCTTATAATCGTGGCCCTCACTCTTTCGCATATGATGAGGTTTGTTTGCACTCGTGATGTATAAGCAGTTATTAATGTGTTGTGTTTCAGCACAGTTATGCAACTTGGATGTAAAGATCAAAGGGGGAGATGTCATTCTTCCGGGTAACCCGATTCCAGGAAGCATACTGCATTATGTCTGCCCTGATGGGGCATATCCGTATCCTGTCGCATGGCGAGTGTGTCAGAGGGATGGCAGCTGGACACCACTACTCAGTGACTCTCGAGAACATTCAAGATTAGCTAGTTGTAACCGTAAGTATTGACTCACACAGGATATAGTGAAAATAGCATGTCGCCAACAAACATATAGGCCACAAATAATTCATGCGAGCCATTTTCACACCTGAATGGTCATATCATGTTTGTGACAGTCAATCATAATGCACTGTGTGGTCATTTCACCTGCATTGTGAATAGCCACTGAGCTACAGCCCTGTGGTCATACCGAAAGTGTCTTTCTGCTTCTTCCCTCATACTGTGTTCCACCATGAAATTACCTCCCTTTGTTAATTTTTTCGCAGCTCTCATAAACGTTCTAAATTAAAGAACGTATGTATGTTGAACTTCTTTCGCATCGTACATAGTCAACCGTGCTAATCGGAGGTGCGAAGCGTTTTAAGTCATATCTATTCCAACACTGACAGTGATGTTTGTGTCAATGCATTTTCCATTGTAAACGATTACCGGTTCCTGACTTTCGGAATTGTTGATCGATTCTGAAATGGGTTACTGGTTTTCGGTTACATAATCATTCCTCTACAAGCTGAATTATAACATACGTGTTTTATTGCAACGCAGCAAGAATATACAATTGAATAAAACATGTATTACGTTTATTTTTTAGTAAATTTTCACAATTTTAGGAGACAGTCACTTTGTAAACTACTTATCTGCATAGCCTCCTCTCAACTAACAGCTCCATCCTTGGTCATCAATGCATGATGACCATGCACTTTAACCTTCAACAATGCGATTCAACCACGATGATGCTTGTAGAGCTGAATGGAGTTTACAATAAATCACAAACACCTTGTGAAAGACTCAACGCACAAGATCCCTGGGTTTGATCGTCCACGAAGCTCATTGTCCACCCTACATCGCATCAACACAAACCATGGCAGATGTAGAAACCTAAATCACAAATGGAAAATTTAAACTCTGCAGTGTGTGACTGTGGCCGTCCAGAACAGACCATACAACATACAATGACATAATGTCAAATCCACAAATACGATGGAGACATCACAGCGATACACTCTGCTGCTCCTGACACGGTTATCTGGCTTGACCACCTGCACGTGAAGTTGTAGTTGTTGCTCTGCCATACAACCCGGTTGGCGGCATGAACCTCGTGGCAATCCAATCCATTATTGAGGAAATGGGGTGAGCTAGCTTTGTCGCTCATATGGACACACATTCACCTATTGCTTAGCATCATCAATATCAGGCGTATTGCTTCGAGGCAAAGAATGGTTCTTGCAACCTTCAACGTCAATCTCTTAATCCAGACTATGTTGTAGGCTGATGACAATTCTATTAATGGCCTAAATGTGCACCGCAAGGATCAAAATTTTGTCACAGCACCTGCATCCAGGCCAGACTCGCGTTTGTTCTTCAGGGATCACTGACTCGACAAGAGGCTGATTCTTCAGAGGATGATGCATTCCAGACATGTATAGGTCATGCACACGAGTGATATTAGCCTATAGTTTCCTGGGTAATTGATTGGCTTGCGTGGTTTTGGAATTGCAAAGGCCATCGCCTCCCGCCATGCTTTTTGGATGCATCCGGTTTTCATTGTTTTTGTCTACTACATGTTTGTCAGCCATTAGAATCCCCTAGGGCCTAATTGATGGAGGAATTTTAGGGGGATACCATCTCTGCCAGCAGCCTTGCCTTTCTTCATTTCATCCAGACCCTTCCTCACTTTCTGTACTGATGAAACAGGTGAAGCTCATCCTATAGAAGAGTTGAGTACAAACGAATCACAAAGCATATTATGCTAGTTATATTTCTATTGAAATGAGATTAACCCATAAATTAACCCAGGAATGCATCACTGTTAATCAGGATATATTCAAAAGAGCACATTTATTGCTATATGTATTTATGTATTCATTTTTAATTTGCTCCAATTGTTTATAAAGTGCTGTCGCCAACTTTTATCCACTTTACCTTTCAATGGGCTATGAGGAAGGGCCATTGCAGGAAACCTCACCTATTATTTACTTTTTTTGTTAAATCATTGAGTTTGTATTTTATCTACATGTAGTCTGCCAAGTACATTTTTAAAACAATGACTCAACCACACAAATCAATACCATACAGCACGAGTGGCATCCATTTCAGTGAAGTCCTTTAAAAAGTTTATTTCCTTGAATTTTAAAACAATTAACAAATGACAAAGTAATTGTAATGACTCATGCTGCAGCAGTTTGGTGATGTCATGGTGGATACTCACGCGCAAAGTCCGCTCAACCAGTCCCCTCAACCAGTCCACTCCATTTGCAAGTTGACCACCTGATGAAGCTCACAGCAGTTTGAGCGAAATGTTGTTTGTTGATGTTAAATTTAGTGATGAAAAGTCTGAAGTCACCGTTGAGCTGCATTTGTCAGAATTACTTTGCACTGCTATGTATTAATTTACGTTGAACTTCTTTCGCATTGTACGTAGCCAACCATGCTAATCGGCGGTGTATTTGTAACTCTGACAATCTTGTCAGGTGGTGCAGGGTTTGTTATACAAATGTTGGCATAAAACTGCAAACCAAAAAACAAATATTAATCAAGTTTAGTCTATTTGTTTAGCCAGGTGATAACTCAAGAGACCAGGGGAGTCTCACTGGCAAAAATGACCTGGACACTTAGGCAGATACTTGAACACTTTACAATTTCACATAAAGACTTCTCTAAGTAAAACTTCTAATACTATCACCACTAACGCTTGGGAATATATTAGAGAAAAAACTCAACACCTTTATCAATAACACTGTAGCCTCAGAAATAACAATATTTAATAGGCAATTTTCCATGTAATGGCCCTTCATACCATATAAAAGCAATGTGATGTCAATATGGGCCATTGCCCAAAAGGTCACATAATTGTTTCCTTATTGCCAACGCTGTATCTCCAAATAATTGTAATTTTTAAGAGATATAAATAAAACATTATAAAATAATTCTCACGACGTTTTGGCCACAACGCAAGCAGCCGTCTTCAGGTGGAGAACAGGTCTGTCAAGTAGACAGAGTCTGAATGGCACGCCCCAGGCTTGGAGCGACTATTTATGCTGGGATGGAGGGGTGAAGAGCGTCTTGACAAAATAATTGGCATATCAAGAGGAATTTAGCATATTTATGGGAAATGCAGATATGTGATTAGTGCTACTTGTGAAATGCGTAGGAGGTTTGGCGAGGGGGTTAAAGTCAATATGCCCGTGCATTATGCAGGATTAGCAGTATCGAAGGGAGGGAGTAAGGTTAGAATTAATAAAGGGAAGGAATGTTAATAATATGGCGCCACAGCAACTAATATGCTTATAGACTATACATTGTAATATTACACTATGTTTTATTCTACCCACCCAACTGTATACCACACTGCTATATATTCACTATAAAATTACGATACTATATATTACCTCATACATTGTATTAAACATTGCACTTTAATACTATTTATTATTATACAATATGCTATACACTATAACATTAACCGTCGCGTGAAAGGTACTAAGAGGAAGCAACGAAATATGTCAATGGGAGAGTGGTGGTAGGAAGTTTGCAGCGGAGCAAAGAATCCATTCCCTGCGGAGTGCATATCAAGAGGAATTTAGCATATTTATGGGAAATGCAGATATGCTATTAGTACTACTTGTGAAATGCGTAGGAGGATTGGCGAGGGGTTTAAAGTCATTATGTCCGTGCATTATGCAGGATTAGCAGAATCAAAGGGAGGGGATAGGAGTAGCATTAATAAAGGGAAGGAATGTTAATAACTTGGCGCCGCAGCAACTAATATGCTTTTAGACTATACATTGTAATATTACACTATGTATTATTCTACCCACCCAACTGTATACCACACTGCTATATATTCACTATACAATTACGATACTATATATTACCTTATACATTGTGTAACGGGTTCCGGAGACACTTGTAGAGGTAACTTGTTTATTACAACCCAACACTCTCCAACAGTCCAACACTCAAACTCTCCAACAGTTCAACACTCCAACTCTCCAACAGTCCTGATACTCTGTTACAGCCTAGGTACACAGCCTAGGTACACAGCCTAGATACTCTACTCTGGCTACGCTCTGGAACTCGCCCTCACAAGGTCGTAGAGTCGGGAGTTCCAGAGTCCCACCACTCGCTCTCACAACATCCCAGGGTCTTCAGATGGCTGGTCGTGGGTCTTGGGTCTTGAGCTACGACTGGCCCTGATCGTCCAGGGAGCTCCACTTTTATGCCTGGTCCAACGAGGGGTGGGGCCGTGTGCGCCCCCAGATATCCCACAGAGCACACACAGCCTCCCCCTTTGGCGGCGCCAAGGGGATTAAGCGCCTGGGAACTCAACGCCTGACGCCAAGAGGCTTAAGCGTCTGACCCGCCCAGGGACCCAGAGCCCCCAGCAGCCCCTCCCTTCTTATGTCACTACATTTGTATTAAACATTACACTTTAATACTTGCGTTGTGGCCGAAACGTCGTGAGAATTATTTTATAATGTTTTATTTTTATTATTTTATTATTTTCCTTCTACATGACTTTACCGAAAGAACCAAGAAGATGAATCCCTGCAGTCACGAAAGCTTTAAATCGAAATTTAACCTCCACTACGGGGTGGGTTTCCACAAAACTTAAGATGCTTCAACAAGCTCCGGGATAAGAAGGCTCAGCTAATCGAGTCTCTCACCTTTCTGATGAGAAGCCGCGACTCTAAGGTAATACCAATCGCATTTACACTAACCTCTGCTGCTGTAACTTCTTCTAATGCTAAACGAATTCTGTCTAGAACTAGTTTAGCTCTTATCTCAGAGAAAATCAGACTTACGCGCACCGAACTAGATCAGTTAGACAAGACACTCTACAAATCACACTTATCTTTGACTGCAACAATGTCTACATCAGATTGGGAACATGTAGACAAAATGACTGCCTCTTCAGCTGCCGCTATGTCGACCAAATGTAAGGACAATTTGATTTCCCAAGTAGATGTGGCTCTCAAGGGCCTGAGTCACATCGCTGCAGACGTAGCAAGATCTGAAATCGCTGCAACCCTCAAAAACGCTAAGATGCCAGCTAGCAACATCAGCAAAGATGAGCGTTTTGAATTAGCTCAATTAAAAAAGAGGGATGACATTGTCATCCTCTCAGCCGACAAAGGCAATGCCACTGTCATCATGGACAAAATAGAATACAATAACAAAATTCAAGAACTACTCAACGATGGTAGCTATACAAAAATAAAAAGAGACCCCACCAACAGCCTCGTCAATAAAACCAACAAAATCATTTCTGATTCAACCGCATTATTTGATCAAACCAAACAGTTCTCGTTGAAAACTTCTGCAGCCAGGCCACCAAGATTATATGGCTTGCCAAAGATACATAAAGAAGATACACCTCTTCGTCCCATTGTCTCTATCAACTCCCCCACTTACAAACTGGCTCGTTTTTTGTCTGAAATCCTGCGGCCTTTCACTGGAAAAACCACCTCTGCGGTACTAAACTCTATTGATCTGGTATCGACAATCAAGGGAATTTTCCTGTCCCCAGACGACCTGCTTATCAGTTTTGATGTGGTTTCCTTATTCACCAAAGTTCCTGTACCTGACACCATCGCAATCATTGAAGACTTGGTTCATCAAGGACTGGATACTGGGGTACCCCCCCTGGTGAGACACTGCTTAAGCAACACATACTTCACCTGGAATGGAACTTTCTACAAACAAACTGAGGGCACCCCAATGGGCTCCCCCCTATCTCCGGTTGTAGCCAACGTTTTCATGGAGAATTTTGAGACTGACGCCATCCAGACTGCCACTCTACGCCCGACCTTATGGAAGAGGTACGTAGATGACACTTTTGTCATCTGGCCACACAGCCGGCCTGCTCTAGACCAATTCCTTGATCACATCAATTCCATACACCCAGCCATCAGATTCACCATGGAAGTCGAAAAGATGGCAAGCTACCCTTTTTGGATGCCCTAATTAAAAGGAGACCTGATGGTTCAATGAGCCACTCTGTCTACAGGAAAGCCACCCATATGGATGCTTACCTAAAACAGGATTCCCACCACCATCCATCCCAGAAGAATTCCCTCATCAAGACTCTATACCATAGAGCACAATGCATCTCCGACCAGGAACACATTTCCAGTGAATTGAAACACGTACGCCAAGCTCTTAAGGCTAATGGTTACTCCGACTACACAATCCGCAAAGCCATCACTCCAACCACCAAGAAGGATGCTGTTGAGGAGCCTTTCAAAACCATCACCTTACCCTACATTGCTGGGGTCACAAAAAAGATCTCCAAAATCCTGGTAAAACACAACATCCAGGTCCGATTCAACACAGTACATAAAATCCGTGATCTGGTCCCGTCTGTAAAATACGTGGTTCCAGACATATAGTACCCTGGCGTTTACAAACTAAGTTGCCTCTGTGGTAGCAGTTACATTGGAGAAACCAAACGACATGTCTCGAACCGCATCCGTGAACATAAAGCAGACTTGAAACACGGTAGGACAAACACCTCAGCCGTGGCAGATCACTGTTACAATTCAGTGGGCTCACATGATATTGACTTCTCCAAGACAGAGGTTCTCTGCAAGCCATCCGGCTACCATGAGAGATTCGCCCACATATACATACACAGAGACAATTTCAACCGAGAAGATGGATTCTGGCTCAGCAATCATTGGAAGGACGTAATAAACCATTTCGGATCTTAACTGATTGTGTTCATGTTTACGGTGATTTTCAGACCGCAGTCCACTCACTGATATTGACTATATATCTTGTATTCTCCGCAGGGAATGGATTCTTTGCTCCGCTGCAAGCTTCCCCACACCACTCTCCCATTGACATATTTCGTTGCTTCCTCTTAGTACCTTTCACGCGACGGTTAATGTTATAGTGTATAGCATATTGTATAATAATAAATAGTATTAAAGTGTAATGTTTAATACAATGTATGAGGTAATATATAGTATCATAATTTTATAGTGAATATATAGCAGTGTGGTATACAGTTGGGTGGGTAGAATAAAACATAGTGTAATATTACAATGTATAGTCTATAAGCATATTAGTTGCTGCGGCGCCATATTATTAACATTCCTTCCCTTTATTAATTCTAACCTTACTCCCTTCCTTTGATACTGCTAATCCTGCATAATGCATGGGCATATTGACTTTAAACCCCTCGCCAAACCTCCTACGCATTTCACAAGTAGTACTAATCGCATATCTGCATTTCCCATAAATATGCTAAATTCCTCTTGATATGCCAATTATTTTGTCAAGACGCTCTTCGCCCCTCCATCCCAGCATAAATAGTCGCTCCAAGCCTGGGGCGTGCCATTCAGACTCTGTCTACTTGACAGACCTGTTCTCCACCTGAAGACGGCTGCTTGCGTTGTGGCCGAAACGTCGTGAGAATTATTTTATTATGTTTTATTTTTATTATTTTATTATTTTCCTTCTACGTGACTTTACCGAAAGAACCAAGAAGAAGACATAGTGATAGTTTGGCTTCAAGAGTCCTTGAACTCTGTTGACTAGTTTTCTCACTTCTTGAGCAAAACTTTTTTTGTGCCATACGTAGCCAACCGTGCGTGCGGAAACTGAGATGAAGATAGTGCCTCATACAATATCCTGACAAGCCAAGTCGTAACGAGCTAGGGAAACTCAGGACCATATACAGGATCTCCATAACATGTTGAGATACACACCACACCACACCGATGACAAATGACACTTGTAAATTATATTTCTACATATAGACGTGGATTAACTTTTAAAAATGTCAAATGGATACAAGACAGCATGCATTTTCTGAATTTGTCTTTAAAAAATTAAGAATTTCGTTTGTAATATACTATGAAACGATCTCTTATCTCACACAGCTATGACGTGTGTGCAACCTCTGGAGTTTGAAAACGGTGAATTCTACCCCAGAAAGTCAGTCTACAAGGTTGGAGATAAAATACAGTTCTCCTGCTACAGCGGGTTCAGAGTGTATGGCTCCTCGTTTTTATCCTGCCAGCCGAACGGGAAATGGAATGGTTCACTGCCAATATGTGACGATGATGGTACGTACGCAAGCACAATAATCATGTGGCTGCAAAGTCAAAAGGTACATTGCAAGTTATGGTAAATAATTTCAGTTTGAATTACAAAACGTTACATTATGTATTGAATGTCTTTCACATGATGTTTGGAATTCGTGGTATTGGATGTATTTATCTTATCCAAGACATTTTAAATGTATTCACCTGTGTTGTAAAAAATGTTGTGCCATGTAAATGGCGTGCATATAAAACTAACGGTCACCACTAAGTAGACTGGCACTGGTGCTTTGTGTTGTTTATGCTTTGTATGTTTGAGCCAATTTTAGAGGAAAAATTTGATTTCTAGATCATTATTTCAAACGTTTTAATAAATAATTTTAATAAATAATGTCAAAAATGTGTTGGCTTTTAAAAAATGTAATTGGGATGAATCACTCCACTCCTGATGTAGTTCTTAACTTGTGAAACAGTGTGTGACAGTGGCGAATAGGGAGTTGAGGTGGTACTAGCGTGAGATGCCAGCTGTTGGGGAGGGGTCACTTTAGTGCCACGGACTCGGTACGTGTGTTGGCAGTGCTGGTGTAATGTTCTTGAAGGGAGACGGAGTCTTCGTAGAGGCAACACGTTTTATTATACCATACAGTTTACACTTAAACCCTAACACAAAGGGGTAACGGCCCTTTTCACCTACAACCTGGGGAGGTACAGCCTCCGGGCTATTGTACCTACAACTCTGTCTACTCTAGCCCTCCGGCTAGCTAGACCTAGGGAAGGCTGACCCACCGCTGGCCCGGTGGGTCCTTGACCACTGGCCCGTCTGGACCTGGCCCTTAGAAGGACATCAGGCTGAGGGAACCTCAGAGTCCTAGCCTCTCGACCACTGGCACCGCACTGAGCCCCGGCCCTTAGAAGGACGTCGGCGGCTTGGGGTCCAGGGTCTTCTTCTCCAGGCGGCTTCTGACTTCGGCTTGAGATGGAATGCCTCGCGCTCTCAGGGACCTGCCTTATATACTCTTTCTCCCTGAGGGGCAGGGTTCTGGGGGATCGTAGCTTCTGCCAGCCCCCTCCCCTCAGAGGGGTTCCAACCACCGTTGGCCCGACCGGTCCGGACCAGTTTCTACCCCTCCCACTGGTACATAGCTAATTAGCTGGCTCACCACCGCCCGGGGTTATCTTGCACACGCCCACGTACACCACCACAAAAGCGAACGTGGTGGCGTGCATACGCGCACCCCTGCACGCGCATATTTCCCACACACGCACGCGTAAACACGCACGAGCATTGCTGAGCGGTTTTAAGTCTACCTAAGTCTACCCCTCCTCCGCGTGCACGCGCGCGCCCCTGCAGGTGCTTGTTTTACACAAAGGCTAACACAAAAAAAAACAGCGGTATTAATATGCGTGCACACCTCCGGGTGGTTAAGCCCTAATCTGCTGCACACCAAGGCTAGCGCTAAAGGTCTGCGCATAATTTGAGTGCACACCACGCCGTTAATGCTATTTTTGCTGCGTAAACACGCGCGAGCGTCGGCGAGCGGGTTTAACGCACCCCGCTCCCACGCTAATACTCACGCGGCACGACTGCTCGGATGCGGGCATGTCGGCGCGTGCCTCGCACACACGCTCAAATTACTGACACCACGCCGAGGTTCTACCCACACACACAGAAATCACACTGCACCGATACTCTGAACTAAAGTTTATTAGCGGAGGGGGAATATTTCGCAAGAAGGGCTTAGACTCACTGCCTACGAACCCAGTCACTCAGGCGTCCTTCCACGTACCTCGAAGCTGGACTCACAGCGTCGCATGGACATTGTGAGAGTCAGAGGACAGGTGAAAACTTGACCTCTCAATGCCTCGGTGGCAGCACTCACTGGCATCACACGGAGGCTGCGAGCGGCTCGAGAAGGCAGAATGGCAGGGAGTGGGTCTTGACGGCCTCGAGGTTGTAGACAACTGACTGAAATCGTCCTGGGCTGCTCTTTTTTATTCTCTTAACTTCAAAGGCCCAGGGTCCCATTGTACGACGCGGCCAATCGTGCGCATACCTGCGGTTACCGCCTCCCCCCGCCCCCCATATGCCGCCCTCCGTCCCTCCCAGAGTACTGCACGTTGGCTGCTGCAGCGCGGCGGGCGGCGGCGACCCCTCGTTGTCCCTTTGTCTGGAAGGGCTCCCGCACTTTTGCCTACTTAATATGCCATCCTCGGTCCCATTTCGAGTGCTGCGCTGCGGCGGCTGTGGCCGGCGGGTGGCGACGACCACCCATTGGCCCTTTGTCTCTTGTGTCTTCTTGCTAAATGTTCCATCCTCCTTTCTCCCCTCCGAGTTGTACCTCATTGCAGTTGGCCCAGGGAACCTTTGCTTTCTGCGCCCATACAATTGTAAGCCAATTTAGGGGCACCGCAATGTAACCTGTTCTATGAGGGTCGTCCAATCTCCTAGCACTGGTGAAACCGTGGGACTTTCTCTCTAGGGGCCCTTCGTATTAAAACCCGATGTGCCAGGCAATCCCCTGCCAGGACATTGCGTGGGTGCGCTGCGTGTGGGTGTGTGATTAGTGCGGGGGCAAGGAGGGAATCGCGGAACTTGCAGAGTTGCTCCGCGGTCGTGGCACCACACTGGCATAGCACTGAAAACATGCGGAATTTGAATATTTTGAAGGTACTTTCAAGCAATGTTATAATCCTGTAAATGTGTGACATTAATCTGCTTCAGCATAAGGCTATGAGAAATTTTCCAAATGTGTGAGTCTCGTTCCAATTTGTGACAATGTATAGCTCTGATGTAATGGAACATAAATTTACGATGACAGTGTATTTTTTTTATTAATATTTTTCAGCGGCATTTTGTCATAACCCAGGTATTCCTTTTGGATCACGCAAGTCTGGTAAAGATTACAACTTAGAGGGTGTGGTGACCTACACATGTCCGGCAAATCTCATTCCTTCAGGAACTTTGAAAAGGGTATGTCTGTCAAACCACCAGTGGTCTGGGAAAGAACCGTCATGTGAAAGTAAGTGCACAGAACTATAAAATCCTGCGTATCATTGATAAGCATTTGATCTTTTGGAAGTACTCGAATATTTTGGGTCTCACAGGCCCTCCTGGGCTTGGGGGCCTTCGGGCTTAAATTGTAATGTATGAAGGCTAAGCAATACTATCATTGGCCCTTGCAGCATTCAAAGTAGCTTGAGCTCTCTGGGTTTTTTTATGTTTGTGCCCATTTGTCATTGCTTGTCGATGTCTTTCAACTCGACTTGATGTTGCTCTTCTGCTGTATTTCTTCATCGTTCCATGGATTGGCGCACTTCCTCCAACTGACCATGACTCTGCTCTTCCGTTTCATTACAATGTTGACTCTCTGTGGCTTGACAATCTCTTTGGAACCGAGCTTGACTCTGCAGTTTTGTTTCATTCCTTGGAAAGTGTTGCATGTGTAGTGACTCAGATCGGAGGCAGTAATAACTGGAGGCACTTCTTTTATTAAACAAGCACCTTCGGGATAATACACACCCTTTGTGGATGCACACTATTATTATTTAGTCGGTCTATTGTCGGCGGCACTACTTAGTTAGAACAGTTAGTAGGCTGTCTGACTAACAGCGCCCTGGGATGGTGAAGATGGAGACGACGACGAGGAGATGGTGACGACGAGGAGATGGTGACGACGAGGAGATGGTGACGACGAGGAGATGGTGACGACAATGATCTTTAACAGCATGACGGGGATCCCACTTCCAGCAACAGCCCCGAGGTCCCGCTCAGGGCCCCTCTTATACTCCCAGCGTGGCCTTGCTCCGCCCCGGCCACGCCCCCTTTCTAGAATCTACCAGCGGGTTCCCGGGGCTTCCCGATGGACCCCTTTTGTGACCTTTCCCCTAGATGTCCCCCTCTTGTATATATTGTGGCCTGCTGACGTGAGTACTGCCATACCCCGCAGTTCCCCTTTTCCGCCAGGAACCAGCGTTATGCCACTACACATGGAACAACGCATTTGTTGCAATCAGATTGATCGACGTTCAGCAGATTAATTGCTCACATGATCTGCTTTTGTCTGCCCATCTTTTTTCCATTGACGTATTTGTTCCAACCAGATTTGACGTTTAGATTGGCTCTCATTACTTATCTGTTACCACATTGCCAAGCTATATGCAGCCTTGCTTCATGTTCTCCTTCAGGTTAATTCGCCCGTGCCAAGGCTTTTGTTTGTTCTTCTGAGCTTTTATTCTTGTGTTTGGGCATTTGAAGGAGTGGCTAAGAGTATCTGTAAATGACAACCACCAATTCGATGTAACTGATTACAATTGTATCTAATACAGTTTCGAGTATAAAACTGAACTGAATATTGAGATTGTTAAGCTGAAAATTTCATTTGAAATCACAACCACTGTAAATGCCACTGGTTTGAAGTGTAGAAGCTGCCCGTTTTTATTTGTCCAAGCACGTAAAGTTTGAAGATCACCGTAAAACTCTAAAATATCCGTAAAATGCCAATATTGCTGGAAAATACCTAAATTGCTGGAATTGTATGTTAATTAAACTGAAAGAATACTACAGGCAGTCTCCGCGTTTACGACACAAAAACGTTCCTGAAGACGGGATAGAAACCCAATTTTACATCAAAAAGGCAATTTTTATTTATTTATTATTAACTATCCTTAATGCTATATGGTATAAAACTGTTTCATAGTGCTATAAATGGATAGGCCTAAAGTGCTGTGTTACAGTGCAGTACTGTACATTAATTGTTTACTGAAATTTACACAAATCAATTTATAAATGTGTAGTGTCAACGGAGTGGGAGACGAGGTTTTCAGGAGCACCTTCTTTAAAAAAACCTTCACAGGTTTACAGGTTAGCCCTCACTCTCTAGTCGTCTTGCCGAGCCTTAACACAACCCTGACCGTGTAACACCGATGGTGCCAGCCGAGACAGCCAACAACTATCCGGCCTGCAATATCACGTTCCCAATCTTACTCCTTAGAACAAGTTTAATTAAACATTTGGCTAGCTATTAGTCTCCCTGAAAATGTTCCACACAATACAGAAGCTCAACACTTCAGTGAGACACTATAAGTATGAATACCTAGTATACAATAAAATATATTAAATAATCAATGACGTATTGCACCTCACGGAGCCCTTAATTCGACATCCCCACCACCCAAACACACCTGCTCCCTCCACAAGAGTTAAGACTATTTAAGACTTCCTGTAAACCTCAACGTTTCCAGAAGGCCAAGTTCCAGATAATATTATCTCACTGCTTTCTTCTCAAGATGACAGGGCGAGAATGGGCATCTTTTGCCAGCACACCCTTATCTCCACTTTTCTGCCTGAACGACCCTGGTTTTGTCCCCTTGTCTAGCGATAGTAGGATAGGCAAATATTGGGAAACTTTCACCAATGTGTCAATTGACTGGCAAGGTTGGGCTATGTGTCCGCAAAGAAAATCAGAAAAGGCAACTGCTAGGAGAATATTTTGGAAAAAATTCAGATAAATATGAGATGTGAATTATGTCCTTACGATTTACAGAACATAGCCCTTGTAGCCACTGCTATCTTATTACTCTCATGGTGGTCTTGTCCATCTTTAGTGATGGTGAAGTGGGATTAATTTACGTCTGTTTGTAGGCAGATACAGCTTTGATACTGCAGAGGATATTGAGGAAGCTCTGAACAATACCATGCTTTCACTACTTCATCGCCAAGGTACTGTTCCTGAGTATAAACATGTATAGAGTTTTGTGAATCCACTGGTGAATGAGGACCTGTCTAAATTATGGTGGACATGGAGGTTGTGTAGTGTATGCTGGTCTGGATGAACACTAGTCAAAGTTGAATAGGGATTTATTCGCATTTATCACATGCCTCCTCACCTTCTGAATTAAAAGATTTTGAGAGCTGCTTTCAGAATCGAGTTACGTAATACACAGATGCCAATATCTCGGGAAATGAGATTATATATTTCATCGAAATAGTTGTTTTTTATGTAGGAAATCGTAATATCAGTCGGTACTGTAGATCAGTACTCTACAGTTAAGGCTCATGATTACGATATTGAAGAGGGGTTGTGATTACGTTTTATAACCAGGGAGTTGAATTTAACAAAAACTAGAACCATAAAATGGAATTAACCCAAGATTTAGCAAACCATAACTGAAAACTGAACCGATATAAAAAATATATTTATCTTTTCAATCTAAAGTTTATAAAACATTATGTTACTGTGAATAGCTCCTGGTACTTATCTTGTTATACTCTTCATGCCATCTCAGAGCTTTATGTGCAAATTATTGATTATTTTTCAGGTAACACTGAAGAAAAACTCAATGTTTATCTCCTGATTGATGCATCTCAAAGTGTGGGAAAAGACAATTTTCAACTTGGCGTGGGTTTCCTGATGAATCTAATTCTAAAGGTATCGAACTTTGTTTTTACCTAAAATTTTCGTGACTGCAGGAATTTATATTTTTGGTTCTTTTGGTAAAGTCACTCACTCTGAAGTCCTTATAAGCAGCTGTGTTGAGGTCGAAACGTCGTGGGTTTTTTGCTTTTAATTTAGATTTTTGTTTTCTATCTACGTGACTTTACCGAAAGAACCAAGAATATATTTTCGTTTACTTTCAGAACTGGCGTGATTATTGTGGGGGATCTGTAATTTGTCTGATTTTGTATGCACGTGTTTGTGACGGCTGTCATTCATGTTCATGTGGTGTATGCTCATGACCTGAGTTCATGCTGATGCTCATTTTGAGGACAGAAGAGAGGATGCTGCTGAACTTGGAGCTTCGTAATGAAGACATGGGGCCCAACTATCAGCCACACTAAAACAAAATAAATGTCTGAACACTTTTCCTCATCAAACACTCCCCTCGGCTCTCCCTGAATAGCGGGGTGGTTGTCGACAGAGTGCAGGAGTTTCTATACAGAGTTTAACGTGTGGTTGGACAGTTGGCGTCCACATGTATTCTCACACTTTGGATATTGGGTCGAAAAATATATAATTTTCACAAGCACTGCATTTACACCGACTTCACTTAGTCCTCCTCACCATTCTCTTTATTGTCTTTGTAATGAGTGGTCTCCGACACGGTAAGTAACTTCGGTTGTTTATTCAATCAAATCTCGGTACAGCCACGTGTCTCCGTCTCTTCCTTTTTGCGAACATCCACTCTTCGTGTGGCTACGCTGCCCCGCGCCACGTGGCGCTCACCCGCTTTCCAACGCACCGCTAGCTGACGGTGCGCTAGGGAGCGGCTGGGCAGCTGGAGTACGAGCCGCCATGTGGTTGATGGAGATGGCGGGGCAGCAGCGGCGGGCTCCTCTTCAGTCTTCAACACTGACCCCTTGCGTTCCTCTGTGTCCCGCTTATATCCCCCTACCCCGGGACTAAGTCCCGCCTCTGGCCACACCCCTCCTGGAACCTTCCAGAGGCTTCCCTGGTGGAACCCCACTATGGATAAGCATGGACTGTATAATTCATATGTATATGCCCCCCTGATAATCCAGGCGATGGTGCTCTCATTACATCTTGATACAGTCTGTCTCTGGATTAACTTGAACTCTATTCAGGGCTTATCTTCGACCTAAAACTTTCGTTATCTCCCATCATTTGAGAACTCTTCAGGACTTCTTTCCTATCTTCAGTGCAACATTTTTCTAAACTACAACATCAACTTAGATCATATTTCCCATCAAATGAAAACTCTATACTCTCTAATCAATGGAATGTGGTTCCGAATGCTGCAGCAATATTCCTGAGCAACCAACGAAATTCACTTTTATTAAAACGTTGATATTAATTTGAACCACTATATGGCAGTCTAGCACAAGGCAAGTTTAACTTAAAACATAGGTTCTCATAGTCAACACAATGAGATTCCTATTTGTGTTTGGGTTTGGCCACATGGTGGTATTTGCATGCCAGAATTCTTGTCGTCAACCCTCCACCACCCAATGAGATCGTCGCGTTGACACAAATATATTGTCCACACGTTGCCAACGCGTTGATCACATTCTGATCGACAAAGCTGCTCCTCACCGGTGGCTTGAGACGTTCCATGACTGAATTCAACATTGACACACGGCGACCTTTCACTCCAAGCGCTCTGAGCTTAACGTCTGCTTTGATAAAACGTCAGATGTTTATGAATGATTGAATGAGACATTCAAGCATTCATCACGTTGAACACTAATGACTGCAACTCTTCTCTAAATCTTATTCTCATATGAACGTTCAAAATTGGTGCTGGCAAACCCCTCAACCAGGACCGAAAATGAGATCATATCACCTCGATTCTCAGATTCCTCCAAGGCAGGCATGTCCAAAGTCCGGCCCGCGGGCCAATCACGGCCCGCGGGCAGATTTCATACGGCCCGCAGCTTCGGTCTTATAATGTGTTATTTATGGCTCGCCAGCTCTGTCAGAATAAATACATCATAAAACTCATGGAAATTTAAGGTATTCTATACAGTTTGTTCAATGTTATCTGACTGAATGAAAGGCAGAATTGCGTTTTTAGAGTTGTTCCCGTCTGCCTGAGTGGCTTATATTTGGTTACATTGTCATTTGAAAAATAAAGGTTATTGTGACAATGAAAATTGTTTTATAACAGTGTGTATTTCCACATAACTTTTGTGGTTAAAACAATGTCAAAAGGAACTATTGGCCCCCTTGCATCTTCACTTTATCAAATCTGGCCATCTTTGCAAAAAGTTTGGACACCCCTGCTCCAAGGGCTCTTAATCCAGCCCCAGATAAACTGCAGTGTTACTGCCCTCACATTTTCCAGATTCTCCATGGATTCAATCCTAACTACCTCACTCATCTTATTTACTTTACTCTTGTTTATGTGCTCTCAGCAACCTTGGCCTTCTGTAAAATATCTCCAAAAACTGGCACTTCCTGGGAGATTACTCCTCCTCCGTAGCTGTCCCCGAGTCTTGAACTTATTTTCTCTGGCCGTCTATACAGTTCATTGTAGCCACATACTACTTTCTATTTCCTTTATATTATTAACCATTCCATCTTTACAAATTAGAATTTCATATATGTGAAGTGATGCACTCAAGAGACACTAGGAGTAGGAGGCACTCTATTTATTATAGCCTTTACAGGGTACAAAGTGTAATTACACTTTCAGTCAGGACAGCTAACAGACTGCCTGACTGACAACGCCGAGAAGATGAAGACGGTGACGAAGACTCCAGCAGCACGATGGGATTCCACTACTAGCCACAGCCCCGAGCCTTCGCTCGGGGTCCCCTTTTATCCTCCTAGTGTGGCCTCGCTCCGCCCCGGCCATGCCCTTCTTCTAGAACCTACTCGTGGGTTCCCGGGCTTACCTCATGTGCCCCCTCTATCACCTTTCCCCTGCATCCCTCTTTCTGGCTTATCACGTGACCTGCTGACAGACAGGGCTGCTGTAACTGCAGACCCCCTTCTCTGCCAGCAACCCGTGCTATGCTACGTAGTGACCCTTTCCATGTCACTACATATGTAAGCACTCTACCTCCACACACTCCTCAGTTGTGAAGTTAATGCGTTTTTATGTTACGTTTTTGACATACAGTTGAAGGGAGAGTATTTATGAATTGGAATTAAGTTTCATTTGGTTTTTGTACATTTCTGGGCACCTTAATGGGACATGTGATGACCGCATACAGCAGTGCAGCAAGTGGGTTGTTGACTTGTCTGTGTTAGAATATTCGTGCTATCCCCTTGCAGTGGTACGTTTTCTTGAGGTGTTCTGGTTTCCTCTCAATCACTTAAAAAGTAATCAGCCAACTCAGTGTGCACAGACTGCTATAAAAATATTGCTGATGCTTCTATGATAATCATGTTATATTTACAGATGTATTTTGAGCATTTATTTGCATTTTACTTGACACATTTCCCATACTAACTGATTTTTTGGTAAACAGTGTATTATTCAGCATTAGGGCCCAAAATCTAAAAGCAGTAATAATATATACACCTATAAATGAAATTGCTAAATATTGTTTTTCATTGTGACTTAAAGGCACGTGTTTGTGTTATAGATGTCAAATTATGCGATACAAGCAAAATATGCCATTGTGGTATTTGCGTCTCAAGCAAAGACAAAACTTGCATTGACTGAAAAAGCAAATCAAGATCCAAAGGCTGTCATTAACATTCTGAAAGAGCTGAGCTACAGTGGTGAGTATCCATGCCCATATTGAAACATGTTGTGCAAGCCTTTATTAATTCAGCCAGCCAGAGTTTTGGCCAGTGCTTTACTCACAGTCAGAAGATCGCAAGTTGAAATCCAGTTCGAGTTGAAGGTAGCGACTCGGAGTTATCCGAGTGGTTCCCTTCAACTCGAACTGAATTTAAATTGAAAATTAGCACCATTCTGTGGCCCAGTCAATGTGACTATGCAATTATACATGTTGAGGGATTCCAATTTGCATTAGAATGACAACACTTGGAGCAATTCATGTTGCAGCAAAATAGAAGCTGAGCTTGTGAGAAATAGTTGCAGAAACACAATTATCTGACATTCCTGCATTATTCTCACCAATATTATTTAGCTCCCGATGTCCCTCTAGTGCTGGTGTTTACACACGAGCGAGCATATAAGGGGGAGCAAGGCCCGCGGTCGGCGCACTTGCTCGGGGACTAATCGATGGCCAGAGGTGGACGACATCGGAGCTGTCTGTTCAAGAAACAACTTGGTGGAAACCATCGGGGCTGAATATAGTAATCACGAGTGTGGCGGTTGTTACACTCGGAACTGTAAATACATTCAGTTAGAAATACATCTCTACTTCTACAAAAATGGATGCATCCATGCCTCCAAGGATCTTCTTGACAAATTGACATAATTCCGAATTGACGGGGCAGAATCGATGTTATGGATCATAATTCGCGATCCATAACATGCCCACTTTTACTTCATGTCAGCTTTTATCATATTACAGCGCAGCTCAAAATATTTCGCTATCGACCACTCAGAAACCGCATTAGAATCATCATGTTCTGCATTGTAACATGCGTGTTCTGCGTTGTACAAACAGCGTTCTCAAATGGAAGAATTGCAAGGACTTACTGTACACACATACACCACGTAATACAAAACCAATAACCGCCGTTTGCCAATAAATGGCAGCGTGTGTATGTGTTAACAGTCCACGATGACATTTCGCATAAAAAGTTGATACAAATGCATGTTTTATTCAGCAATACATCAGCAGCATAGCTCATGCCTTGGTAAGTGTTATTCTGCTTTAGAATATAGTCAGGTTACAGAATTAATTTATGTTTTGAAAAATACAATTTTTTACGTCTTTGAAAACGTATAAAAGTCAGTATCACAACGAATAAAGTAGATTTACACAAAATATACAAATCAAGACAGTTTAAAGAGATAATGAAGTGGTATTTAGTAAATTTGATAGAGTAAACGTATATTTCTATATTCTTCAGAATTTGAAGAAAGCCCTGGTACCAATACTGGAGAAGCACTTCTGCAAGTGGTGGCATTAATCAATTCATACAAACAACAACAACAACACCTTCCAATACCGTGGAATCAAAATAAACATATCTCATTTATTGTCACAGACGGTATGTTAAACATGCGATGGTGAGTTACATGATGAATCATTCCCATTTCCTGAATGTTTCTACTTTTATCATTTACATGTTTTGGTTGAAAATTCATCCTTGATACAATATACATTTCTCCACGATGGATTATTAAATAATTGTTCTTGCATTTTCCCGATATATAGGCAGTCCTCGACTTACCAACACCCGCACTTGCGAACCAGCTTCCATGAAATACTTTTTTTATTTAACATCGAATTAAAACGTTCATTCGTGTTTGCATACTGAACCGCGGAACTATTTGTTCAGCGGAGCGATCCACTGTGAAATGTTAGGGGCTGTCCATAAATGACATCACGCACCTGGGGGAGGGGGTTAGACATTTGTGACGATGTGTGACAGGGGGGGGGGGGAGAAATGTGACGTCACACCAAAATGCGCAACTTTAAATAAATATAGACAACACGTTCTACTTAATTAAATAGACCTTTAAAAAAATGTTTTTCCTACAACATCAGAGTGCAGCGCCACATTAAATATGCACTACAATGACAATAGTTTATAGCGATTTGAAGCATGTTTTCTTTTTGGGGGGGAGGCAAAGCTTTGTGACGTCATATTTGAAGGGGGGTCTGACTTTTTATGACGGCGTGTGACGAGGGGGGGGGGGGTTAAAAATCGTCCAAAATCGCGTGACGCCATTTATGGACGGACCCTTATGAGTTAGTCTTTCGCTGGGAGTGAGAGTGTATGTGTCTGCGCACGCGCACGTGTGTGTGAAAGTGAGTGGGGTGAAAGTGAGTGTGCGTACGTGTGCGTATATGCCTCCGTGTGTGTTTGTGAGGAGCGGTAGTGAAATGATGGCGCCCTATCAACCCGGTGACCCGAGTTCGATTCCCGCTCATTACTGACACCAGTAACTATTATTTAAATTGGTCCTGGGCCTCCCCGAGGTCGACTTAGCTCAAATGAGTACCTGGTGCGGTGAGTAAACATCGCTACTGGGGAGTCAAATATGGCCGGTTGTGGTCCGAGCCACCCACCCCCTCGTGTGCCGGCTTTTATAGGCGCTGCTTGCTAACACTACTTGCCCCAACAGTCTGTTAAGGGTACACGGGGGATCGTCGGTGTGTTTGTCTTTGTGTGCGTCTTTGTCTTTGTGTGCTTGCGCACGCGTGTCGTCGTGGGTGTGTGCACAATTGTGGGGACTCATTACACCCCTTCCAACAAGCAATCCAGCATCGGACGTAAAGGTAACTTATACAGGTTTTTGTTTCTATTTATGTTACTTTATTTTACTATAATATATATTACACTATTAAATGCACATTTTCAATATCTATTATTTATGAGTTTAACAATGTTTCCCTTTGTTGAACTGTAACACATACCGCATTTAAATACAGTACATTATTGTATACCGACTTACGAACCATTCGGCTTATGAATGGGTCTCAGGAACTGAACTCGTTCGTAAGTTGAGGACTGCCCGTATTCCACCTTGTTAGGTTTGGACATTTTATCAAACCTTAATACATGCTCTTTGTTTTTTTCGGTAAAGTCACGTAGGTAAAGAATAAAATAAAATAAATGAAACAACTAAATTAAATCATGAAGTTTCGGGCGCAACACAAGCTGCCACCATAGCGACATGCGACTTTTTGCTGCACATATTGTGGCCATGCTGTGTCCCTGCTTTTTTCACTCCAACACTCACACATTTCCACACATTGTTTCCACTTCTCTCTCTTTAACACATACGCTTTTGCGACCAATATCATCCATAATATAGGTTTTTTGGGTTAGATCGCGTAAATATAAATGTGTCGTTAAACCCGCCACCACCCGACACAGTCAATTAGTAAGGTTTGTCACATAAACAGAACATGCCAATTCACTACTCGTATAGCATACTGGTGTGTTGGAGAGCAAATTCACAACATTTACAATCTAAGTACGACGTTTCGCCAGTAATTACAACTAGCTTCATCAGGCGATAGCCAGATTTGTGGAGAAATCCTGTTTCGTTCCTTAAATAGAGGGATAGATGTGATTACGTCACTTGTGAGCCCTTCACGTGCGAAGGGGGGGGGGTTAATGATTGCATATAAATTACAATGGGTAACCATTGCTAGTGGGTTATTCATATGGTAATGTAGATTATGCCTGCAAATTATGCATACATATTCTTGTACCTCATGTCGTTTGTGTGCAATAAATAGTACATGTTATTGTCTGAGTACAGGTATAGTGATATTAAATGGATCACTACGGCGTGTAGCGCCAAGTGGCGTGAAACAGGTGCAAGAAGCTAACACACCATGCAGTACCATGCAGTGGGTCACTAGGGGCATGGTATTGGGTGCTAGCAGGAGTAGGGGATTGCAGCCTCCACCAGCGCTGCAGGGAATCATCACAGAGTACGCCACTGTAAGAGTGTGGTGGGGGGCGGTTGACTGGTAGGGGTTATCTGTGGACAAGTAATATGGGCCAAAGGTGAATGAGGTTTGCACGGGGGGGAGTAGCTGAGTACGTCTGGAGAGTTCTCGATAGAGGTGTAGTTGAAGGTGGAGCCAGAGAGGGAACAGGTGCGGTATAGCCTGGAACCGTTGGGAAGTTTCTATACGTAGGGCATGGCCGAGGGTGGAGCCAGGCCACGCCGAGAGGGATAAAAGAGACACCCTGATCACATATCTGCGATGTTTAGTGTTAAGAGTAACCCAAGAGCTACGTCTACATCTTCGTCCCTGTCTTCGACATCGTGGGCAGGCAGCACGTGGCTGCGCTGTCCCGATTATAGATTGTCCCGTAACAAGAGTGAGAAAAAGTGTGTTGTAGTCCTATGCACAACAAGAGTGAGAATATGTGTATTTAGACCCGTGTGTAATGGTATTGCCTCCTAAATAGTGTCTCAGAATGACTCACTAATTCTAGATTTGAAGCTTTCGTGACTGCAAGGATTCATATTCTTAGGTTTTTTTGGTAAAGTCACGTAGGTAAAAACATTAAAAAGTAAAATAAAATAAAAATGAGGACGTTTTGGAGGCAACACAAGCTTCCGTCTTCAGGTGGTACCGTCACAGCCACGACAGCTGTATGAAGTAAATGAGAGATTGCAGGAGCTACCACTCCGTTTATATAATGGTTGGAGAATGTGGTGGGGCAAGGGCCGCATACTTTTTATTAATATGGTACGGTGAGGCTTAAGACTAAGAATAGACTGCATAATAGAGGCTGAGCCTTTGTTATGGGGAGGTACGGTTTGTGACTCAACCTGTGACAGGGAGACAACCACTAAACATTGTAAAACTGTAATAGTTGTCTGTCAAATAAGATTGGCAAATAAGTGTAGTTAAATCTTTTTTGCATGGTTAATCACATCTTTCCAATGATTACTCAGTTTGTAACCGTCATCACGGTTAAAATCATGTCTGTGTTTGTATATTTGTATGGCTTCGTGTACAAACCTTTGATGGTAGCCAGGAGATTTGCAGAGAACCTTGGTCTCGGAAAAGACAATTTCATGAGAGCCCAGCGAGTTGTAGCAATGATCGGCAACAGCCGAAGAATCAGTTCTGCCGTGTTTCAGATCTGACTTGTGCTCGCGGACACGATCAGAAACATGACGTTTCGTTTCTCCAATGTAGCAATCACCACAAATGCAACTCAATTTGTAGACTCCAGGATACTGTAAGTCAGGAACGACATCCTTCACAAATGGAATCAAATCACGGATTTTATGCACTGTACTGAATCGGACTTGGATCTTATGTTTGTTTAGAATTTTGGAGATCTTTTTGGTCACGCCTGCTATGTATGGCAACGTGATAGTTTTGGTCGGAGTTTCATGTGGCTGTTTCTATATGGTGGGAGAAACAGCTTGGCGGATAGTGCGGTCAGAGTATCCGTTCATCCTGAGGGCCCGATGTACATGTCTTAATTCACCGGCCAGGTGGTGTTGGTCAGAAATGCCATGGGCTCTGTGGTATAGCGTTTTGATGAGAGAATTCTTTTGAGATGGGTGGTGGTGGGAATCCGGTTTCAAGTAGGAATCTGTGTGGGTGGCTTTCCTGTAGACAGAATGTCCCAAGGATCCGTCAGGCCTCCTCTCAAACAGAATATCCAAGAATGGTAGTTTACCGTCTTTCTCCACTTCCATGGTGAATCTGATGGATGGGTGTCTAGAATTGATGTGGTTCAAGAAGTGGTTCAATGCTGGGAGGCCATGTGGCCAGATGACGAAAGTGTCGTCCACATACCTCTTCCACAAGGAAGGACGCAGGGTGGATGTCTGGATGGCGTCTGATTCAAACTTTTCCATGAACATGTTGGCTATAACTGGTGACAAGGGGGAGCCCATAGGGGTACCCTCATTCTGTTTGTAGAAGGTGCCATTCCAGGTAAAATAAGTGTTGGTGAGGCAATGCCTAACCAGCGCAGGTACATCAGAATTCAATCCATGTTGGACTAAGTCCTCAATTATTGTTAGGGTGTGTCCGGTACTGGGACTTTGGTGAACAAAGATACTACATCAAGGCTGACGAAGATGTCATCAGGAGATAGTACCATGTCCTTAACCATAGAGACTAATTGGGTTGAGTTGAGTACTGCCGAAGAGGTCTTGCCTGTGAAGGGGAGCAGAGTATCTGATATAAAACGGGCTAGTTTGTACGTAGGAGAGTTTATCATCGACACAATGGGTCGTAGCGGGGTGCCTTCTTCCCAAAATCCATAAAGAAGGCACCCCGCTACGACCCATAAGATCCAAGTCCGATTCAGTACAGTGCATAAAATCCGTGATTTGATTCCATCTGTGAAGGATGTCGTTCCTGACTTACAGTATCCTGGAGTCTACAAATTGAGTTGCATTTGTGGTGATTGCTACATTGGAGAAACGAAACGTCATGTTTCTGATCGTGTCCGCGAGCACAAGTCAGATCTGAAACACGGCAGAACTGATTCTTCGGCCGTTGCCGATCATTGCTACAACTCGGTGGGCTCTCATGAAATTGTCTTTT